CTCCTTTCAGCCTGGAAGCTAGCAGAGGCCTGACTGGGTCAGGCCGGTCTTCTCCCCAGCTCAAGGTCCTTCCTGGTCTCCTCTGCTTCTGCGCAGGAGGCCCTCCCCAGAGCCTCCATCCCACCACAGGCGCTTGGCTCTTTCACATCCTGGCTCCAGCCTCCACTCTGCCCCAGGCACAGGTAAACTTCACCTTCATCTTCCTGTCTCAGGCACCAAACCAGGAAAGCCGGCACCTGATCTGACACCTCCATGGTGCTCAGGCAAGGGGAGTCTTTTTGCCCCCACCTGACCCCCCAACACACCTGGCACTTGTGGAAATACCTGGCACTTGGAAATACCTGGCACTTGTGCCCCTTTGCCTGTCCCAAGCCTGGTTCCCAGCCGTGCTCCAGGCTGCCTGTCCTTTGTGTCTCAGTGTCTCCTGGGGCTGCCAGCTCCCGCAGCCCTGTGATCTGGCTGTCACTGTTGCCTCCCTGGCACCACAGAAGAAGAAGGCTAAGACCAGGTGGACTAATGCCAGTGCCAGGGCTGGAGTCACAGGAAGGTGAAAGCCAAGGGACGAAGAGGGCAGGGCAGCAAGTTTCCTAGAGGAAGAGCCCTGTACTTGGTTCCCAACCCTGCAGAGCAGGAGGATGGACTGCAGCCCAGGAGCCTCTGGGGGTTGCCAATGCTGCCAGCCTCTTTGTAGGCCACCTCCTTTCTCTGTCCTTATTCCTGGGTACTGGCCCTGTGCTGAGAGCACTGCCTGCCTTCTAGAACCTCCTGGCTCCAGGTAGCTCTCTCCTGAGCCCGTGTTCAAGATCCCAGCGCTGGGCCAGTGAGCAGGCTTTCTCCTCAGAAACTCCTGCCAGGCAGGCAGTGGCAGGAAGGTAGCAAAAGATACAAATAAAGACACCACTGGGACCTATTCCCTAGGAACCAGTGTAGTTGGCTAGACAAGACACTTGCACAATTGGCACTACAGGCAAATAGCCCACAATGGTACCTTCAGGGAATAAAAAGAGTGGGCACAGAAAACGTGTCCCTGAGGAAGACCCGCATACCCAGTGCTCCTCCAGAGGCTACTGGAAAACTATTGGCCAGCAGACACCATGGGAACCCTTTGGGGGTCCAGCCATTGGGGCAGTACTAGTAAAGCAGAGAACTAGTTTCAAGGGAAGCAAAGTTGGCCAGACTGCCAGAGTGCTGTGGGCTTCTGGCCTAGACCCTGCCACTTCGTGCTTTAATTCACCCCTTTTACATTAGATCATCTGTACATCTCAATTTTGGTACATACTATCCTCACATTTTTTACTTAAGCCTATTGCTGGAAACTTCCAAAGCCTCTGCTGTGTTTCTGCCTCCTGACCTTTCCTGGAGCCAAGGAGGACACCTCCCTGGAGGTGGCCACTAGCTAAGGGTCCAGGTACATATGTCCTATCCTGCCTCCCTTGCCTTCCATTTTGTCCTAGAAACAGGGGCCCCAGAGCTACTTTGTCCTTGGCCCAGACTTGCACACACTATCCTCAGCCAGGGTCACCAGAGTTCCAAGCCTGAAAAGCATGCTTCCTGCTCTCTCCCCACATTCTTTCCTAACATGGAAGGTTAACTCTCTCCTCCCCCACCCCCACCCCCACCTCCTGGCCTGGGATATACTTTGCTCTTCTGAGTCTGAGAGCTGCTGGGCCTGGGCCAAGTGTCCCTGTCTTTGGGCACCTCTCTTTCTCCTCTCCTGCATGTAGTACCAGTGACAGTGTGAGGACAGCCTATTGTACCCCTCCCACTGGGGGAATGGCATCTCCACTCCATCCCTGTCTTGAGTGCTAAGCACCCACGTAACCTGAGCTAGGCCTGCATCGGAAGAAAAAGGACTAAAGGAAGTCAAAAGGAAGGGCCAGGCTGCCAGAGCCCCAACGACATATCCAGGACAGCAAAGCTGGTATCAGGTGATAGCACAGGACCCTGGAGAAGCCAGTGGGGCAGAAGGCTGAGCAGACAAGGGAAAGGTGCTTCATCCCGGACACACACGCAGTGCTACAGAATGGCAGAAGGGGCGTTGTCAGTGGGGTCCCCACCAGAACACCAGTGTGGGTTTTTAAAGTAACCACAAGACAGGTCAGACTATGAGAGGGAAAACAGGTGTGCCATTCCTGGTGAGTGTGATATGTTCCTGAAACGTCACACGCACGCCCCTCTTTGTGCTCTGGCAGGGCTGGAGTTTGAGGTTCATGAAGAACAAATCTAGTTCTCCCACTGGGGGGGCATCTCTACTGGGGTACAGCATGGAGATGCCCTCACTTCATTGTTTCATGTGTTTCAGTGGGCAATGACTCCAACCCCCCTGGGTTTGAGCTTCCTGGACAACTGGCTCCTGCCTCACTTTAAGCAGCAAATGAGTTGGGGGGAAATGCTGAAGTGCCCTGGGGATGGCCCCCATTGCTAAAGGGGTGTTCCTTTGTACAGCAAGGACCTCTGCCTGTGATGAGAATCAACAGCCTCTAATTTGTCCCTTTGGACAGGACAAAGCCAGGGTTTCAGGTGTCAGCCTATCTGACATTGATCCAGACTCAGCATCAAAAGTAGGAAACAGGTGGGTGATGGGTGCAGGGAGCCAGAGAAGTCTGCAGACTTCCTTGAGTTAGGACAATGAGGCCCCTGCTCAATGGGTGACAGAAGCCAGGGGTTTCTGGGTGGCTGCTGTCCAGGGCCTGACTGGTACTCAGTGAGCTCAGGGTGGCTCGTCTCTGTAGGCCTAGTCTTGACAACTTTCTGGCCACAGTCTAAGCCACCACCCTGTATAACCCATCCTTCCCTTCCTGACTGCCACAGACACAGGCTTAGGTGTGAGCACGTGAGGATGACACTCTTCCCTTCCTGGTGCTGGGCCTCCTTTCCCCAGTCCGGAGGAGCCTTTGCACCTCCACCCCCAGTAGTTGAAGGCATGGGCAAGAGATCCAAGGCTTCACTCATGTTTTCAAGGCCCTCGGGGACCTCCCCCTATTCCTGGCCCCATGCTCAGCACAGTCACTACCAATTTGCACCGAGTGTGTCTCTGGTTCTGACTCCTCATCCTCATCAGCACCACTCAGATCCACCTTCAGTACGCAGGGTAAACCTCGAGGGACACAAAAACCCAGGCCATGAGGCGCAGAAGCCAGGTTGGGAACTTAATAAAGGTCCTTTCGTCTTCGTCCCCAGCCCCAGCCCCTCCACAGATGGCAGCCAGAGGGGAGCTCTGCATAAGTCAGACAGAAGTAGCCTCCTTGACCTGGCTGTCCATCCTGCTCCAAAGTGCTAAGACAATTAATTGTTGTTTTAATTCCTGTACGTTTTAAGTTTAGAGGCTCAGTTGACACATTAATTCACCCGGCCCATCAGCACTGAAGCGTGGCTATGTTAACCGAATGAACTTGGTAAATCATAAGGTCGCAGGGTTAGAGCATATGCGTGTGCAGGGGGAGTGTGCGTGTCTGGCTGTGAGTGGGCAGAGAGAACAGCACGCCCTGGAGCCTGGGTAAAGTGGGCCCCAAGGACACACCTCGCCCACTTTTGGCCCAAGAGGAGGCTAAATGCCTGGAAATTGTGTGCAAGGAGTGGAGAACTCACAAGAGCCAAGGAAGGAACCAGAGCGTGGTGGGTGTTGGAGGCAGGGGAGGGGGGCGGAGGAGCAGCCAATGGGAGGCCGTATGGAAACTGTGAGTTACTGGTGGGGATTCCTGCATGGATGGCAATGAGGCTCCAGGGCCAGGGACAAGCTGAAGGCAGATCAGATGGTGTGAGAGAAGAAAGACTGGTACTCATTTTCACTAGGCTCCGATGCCACATTTCTGCAGGCCAGCCCCAAACTGGGCATTGCACATCTGCCTCTTCTCCAGCACCGTCTCATCTCCGCACGCTGCCTCCCTCTGGGTGCCAGCTCGGCGTCCCTGGCTGGACCGCAGGCTCTGAGATTTGCCAAGAGTGCCTTCTTCCTTATCATACCCAAGTATACCTATCACGGCTTGGATTTCATTGTCAGGGCTTAGGCCGGCATGGAGAGACTTCTACTCTAGGCCAGAAGTGAACAGATGTAGAGGGGAGCTTCAGAAGAGTAAAAGCCCCCTGGGGTTGGAATAGATATCCCATCAAACACGGGATGGGAGGCGCAACCTAGGAATGATGCGAGGTAGGACAACTGCAACATCCCAGCCCTCTCCTGATGCACAGACATACTGTGCATTCATTCATTCATGCATGCAATATTTATTAGCCTCTAAATCAGGTCATGGGCTGGGTAGAGCCAAGCATAAAGCAGGCCGAGTCAGACATTCCAGCCATACTCCCAGGAAAGCCTCAGGAGCAAGCCTGAGAGACGCCTGACTGCTGATGGGATACCCAGGGGCTAGGTGTGAGATCTCCAGTAGTCAAAAGGGGGTCACTCTGCCTATTGAAGTACATAGGAGTACAACGACATGATCTTCAGGATTTGCTTCAGAATACTGCAGCCAAACAAAATGAAAAGGGATAATGGAGCATATGTGGCTCCATGTGGATAGCTATGGAATCCGGGTGATGGGCCCACAGAGCAGGAGTCATAGTAATATTGTACGTGTGAAATGTCTGAAGTCCACCAGCTGCATGGGTGCCACGGGGGGTACTGCCCCCCACATCCCAGCCAAGTACAGCCTGATGCCCCAACGTGCACCCCCAACAGTGTTCCAACAGTGCCAGTGAGAAACGTGTTTTAACTGTCAAAAGGACATAAAGTCAGCTACTTCAATGGCAAGATCTAGGTAGTGGGTTCTGCCTGCTCCAGGCCAGTGTATAATCACCATAGTTTTCATCAGGAAACAAACAAAGAAAAAGAAACAAAAGAAAAGCTGTAAGGAGTGCCACCTCCCAGCCCTCCAGCTTTTTCCATCACCTTTCCTTGCTAACTCGTCTTTTTTTTCCTGCAGTGCCCCTGATGCAGCCTCCCGATGGGAGAGGCCTGGAGCAAGGCAGTGTCCGATACTTGGTGCAGCCCAGGGCTTCAAGGAATGGACCAGGGCCCTGGCAGGGAGGCCGAAGGAAGTTCCGCCGCCAGCGGCCCCGCCTCTCCCATAAGGGTCCCATGCCTTTCTGAAGCAGGTAACTGATTGGAGTCCCTGGTCAGTGGGCAGTGCTATGTGCTGGGGGAGGGACAGCCTAGCAGCTTGTGACCCTATCACTCATCATTGGCCAGACATTTCCAGCAAGCAGTCCCGGCTCCACACACAACTAGGGCCTTAGAGTTGCCAGGGAACTTGTAGAGCACTCGTCTAGCACCTTTGTTTCACAGAGGGGAGAGACTGAGGCCCGGACAAGGGCTCCACACCAGGGACGGATCTCCCGCCTCCCCAACAGCTCAGCGGTGCTGTCTCCCCTCCCTCCTGCTGCTGGGGGTTGGGCAGGCTGGTCTGTTGGAGAGTTCTGGAAATCTGGGGGGCCTTGATTGGGGAGGGTTCCAGGGTGTGCCCGCAGGTGTCCATTGTGGAACCTTGCCAGGTCCAGGGGCGAGGTGGGAAGAGGCAGAGAGAATCATGGGGCTGACAGGCCAAGGGCAGGAGGAAAGCTGGGGAAGGAGAGAAGCATCAAAGGCAGCCACCGAGAGAGTAGTGCCTTCACCCACACCCGAGGCCAGGCCTGCTGTGGCTCCCACCGCAGCTGGCCCAGAGGGACACCAACTCGGGGATGGGCTTTAGGGTCAGCTTCAAGGTTAGCGGTGGGAGTAGGATGAAGGTTATTTTCTCTCCTTTCCTTGGGGGGAGGTTTCTTTGACCTAGAATGTGTCCTTGACTTCTCTCTTGCCATTTTTGTCTCATTAGGACTGAAGCACGCTGCCCCACCCCCAGGTGCCAGCGCACTGTGCTTCTCTCTACTCCACACATCCATCGACTTCTCTGGAGCCCTCACATCCAGTCAGCTCTTGTCTCGCACCTGTTCTAGCTGCTGATGGTCCTGGCTCTTCTCACCCACCAGCTTCATCTAACAGCGTGGTCCCGCCCTACATTTGGACGATTCTATTTCTCTCATGAGGATCCATGAAGCCCATCTTCCTGGCCTCTCCCTGGACTGACTTCAGATACCCAGCCTCTCCTGGCCTGCCATACTCCCTGCCCCACCTACCCCAGCTGATGACTCCACCCTCCACTCAACCTCTCTCCTGTATCTGCCCTGGGATCCGGGTGGAAAGCACTTCATTCCACAGTCCTGCAGATCCTTGATTTCTTGTCAGTGAATCCCTCACTTGGCCTCCAGAGAGGAATCCTGAGATGCACAAGGAGAGATTCTAACTAGAAGGGTGGGTGTTGCGATCCAAAGAGGGTGCATGGGGGTGCACAGGAATAGGGTACATGGTACCCTGGTGAAGGGGGTTGAAGCACTGGAGAAGAGGAAGAATAGCACTGTGGCCTCCTCTTCATCCCCATGTCTGGTCCAGTGAAGGAAGAGGTGAGTGAGAGGAGCTCAGGAAGTACCGTGTCACACTAAGTCTCCTGACTCAGCTGACTCCCCACCTCAGCTTCTATGGCAGTTCAAACTCTGAGTCAAGACAGAAGGGTGCTGGGCCTGGCATGGCTCTGTAACCTCCCAGGAGTAAAAGCTGGGCAGGAGGGTTGTTTTTGTCAAGAATCATAGAATATCAAGCTGAAAGGGCCCTTGGAGATCACTTAACTCAGCCTCCTTATGAAAAAGTCTTTGTCAGCAGAGGCCTGGAGAGAGGAGTGATTTGCTCAGGGTCTCTGCAGAGCCAGAATGGGGACCAGGTCTCCCAAGTACCACTTTATGATACCCTCGTCCCTCTTGACGATATCTTCTCAAAACACATGAAGTGCCTTTTTCTGGGGTTATGGTGGTGTGACTGGGAGGGCAGGGAGAAACAAGCTGGCTGTGAACTTCCCCGTTGTTGGGAGACAGAGCTGCTCCCACCTCCCTGCTATCCATAGGATGAGGGTACCATAAGTGGCCAGCAGTAGTCCTGGCCCTGGGGTACCTTAACAGGGCAGCTCAGGCCCTGAGACTACCATTCAGACCCCCACACTACTTGTCCGGAGTCAGAGGTGGCCTTAAATAATTGACTCAATCGCCTCTGCTTTGTGCGGACTGAACCCTCTTTCCTAGTGGCCTTTCCTGGGGGATCAGAGGGAAGAGGGTGAAGGAGAAGGGGGAGGAAAAGAAGGGAAGAAGGAAGTAAGGAGAGAGAGACAGGAGTATGTACAGGTGGTGTAGCACCCCTGGCCAGGAAGTCCTGGCTTTCACGAGGAGCCTTGCACAGCCTCCTCTGAAGGTGGACCCTCTTGACTTTTACCTGAGCAGCCTGCCTTCTCACTGGTCTCCCAGGAGAGAAAAAAGGAAAACAGAAGCCTGATGCCCACCTATGTATGCATGAGGGCAGGGGGAGTCAGGCTCCCCCAAGTCCCACAATAACCCCAAAGTTTGCCCGCGCCTCCCAGCCAGTCTTTTCCTTCCCCTCTGCTGCTGCTACTGCTGCTGCTATTGCTGCTACTGCTGCCACTACTGCCACCTCAAGGCCCACCCTGGGAAGCTGCGTTGGGCATAGCCTCCAACCTATTTGGGCATGGAGTGGGGCTGGCCAGTGTCCACAAAGTCTTCTCTGCCACTGGTAGCCCCACCGGGGACCTGAGCACCTTCCTTCTCCTCCTCCTTTCTTTGTCCCTCAGCAGCCTGCCATGACCTGTAGCCACACCCAGCCCCACGGGGAAGAGGACAGAAGAGGGAGGATGACTGGGAAAGATGGGAACATGGGCAGAGGAGGGTAGTGGGTGGGGTAAGGGTGTTGTCTTATTTAAAGTGGTTGTGTATGATTCTTTTACTAATTTATACGAAGATATGAAGGCCCCTTTCATTAAGAAATTGTCCCTTCCCCATAATTGTGCTCATTGTGTTTGTAAAGGTTATGTGTAAATATGTCTTTGTAATAAAGAGTTAAAAGCTGACAGTTTGCCCTTACTCTTGGAGGTCACGTTCGGGAGGGGAATTCCTTTCCCCTGAGAGCCACGGTTGTCTCTGTGCCCACAGATTGCACGTGCAGGGAGGTCAGTGCCTGCATCTCAAATCGGTTCTAGGTCAACTGGCCTTAAACTGATTTACCACAAGCTTACAAATGGAACCTTTAAGCTTAGTGAGCTGTGCAAATAAAATTTAGCCCACTTTTAAGTCCTTGGGCATCTGTTTGACTATCTTAATTTTTATGGCATTGTCATTGAAAGAATTCTTTTAAAAAGTAATTTATTTAAAACATGCTGATTAAAGATAGAATTTCTACTAAAAGTTACTTTGTACTCTTGGTGGGTGTCTTCTATTTTATCTACTTTCAAACCTATTCAGGACTTTTTAGCTAGTTTCCCTTTCTTGAAAAATCTTGTTTTCAGCAATAAATACATTTGGTAATGACTTTGTATGTATCATCTTCTGTTTCACCAAGTGGGATTGCTTGATGAATGAGATAGCCTGAAAAATAAAATGCATGGAGTTCAGTGCCGTCTGCCCCATCTGTCTCACTTCTTCATGCTAGTTGTCAAAATGTCGATATCTTGCAGAACAGAAAGGAACATTGGGCACATGCTAATTTGGTTAATAAACCCATCAGGTGCTCGCAGGCATAGACAGTGCAGAGCAAAACCCATTGAGGAGGAGACGGGAGTGATCAAAACGGGTGCATCCAATAATCTTCTGGGGAATTCTATAGACGACAAGTATCTATTGCTTGAAATACACAATTTTAAAGAACGTGTCTTCAAACAAACTTGCTAAAAGTAATAAAATGTTCAATAGGAGATAAAATGGAAATAGTCACCCACAAGCGAACAAAATTATCTCATTGACGAAATGCTACAAATTGTGACACAGTGATTCTTAAAATATGACATTATATTGCGAGTGCCTCTTAGGAAAACTGGTACAAAACTCCTTACTTTAAAATTACTAGTTTGACTTTTAGGCAAACTAGTCATCAGAGGAACTGGATTAGGTAGAGGTTTTGGGTGGGCTGGTTTTCTGCTCATTGGTCTGCTATCTCCTTAATCACTCCCCAAAACTCTAATTTTACTTGAAACTAAGGAGAAAGGGGTGGTGGCAGGGCGGAAAAACATAATAGTAAACTATAAATTGCAGGGGATGGCGAAAGGAGGCCGAGTGACTAACACTGGCCCTAGATGGCCTGAAAATATTTAGCTAGGAGGATGTAGAGCTGTGGAGGTGTGGACGAGGAAGGAGGGGCAGCCACCAGAGTCCACAGGGCATGTGCAGTAAACTGGATACTAGGGAGGACACAAGCTTGACCTCCTTGGGGCAGGGGCTGAGGGGAAGGAGTAAGGATAACTAGATGCCAAGCCAAGGAGAACAGGATGTGATAGAGGTTGTTACCCTTCAGTGGTGTCTTGATTTGACCCAATGAATATGATAGAATAAGTGTGGAGTGGTTTGTCAAAATTCTGAGCTATGGTAAAAGCAGAAGGGGTTCACTTAACTGATTATTTCTAGACCAGAGGTCCTAGACAGAGAGGTTGAAGGATATACGGGCAGAGAACCTGAAAAACAACAATGCTTTGAATCCATCTGGAAATTAGGCAGCTTCCAAAATGAGGGAGATTATGGTGTCAAACTGACAGACCACACGCAGCTTTTCAAGTCCCCAGGTATGGTGTCAAATGAGCCATAGCTGCCCTGAAGCCTCTCCCGTGAGCCCTGGCTGACTTGGGTCCTCAAGTGGTTCCTCTTCATCAGCCGAGGAAGCCATAGGGCCTGGCCTGAGCCAACCTTTTGAGGTGCTTATATAATTCCACTTTTCAGGCCTAAAGGTTATTCAGCTGAAATTTCTCAATCCAAGGTTTCTTTCTGACTAGAGTGAACCTGTGCCAACGAACTGCCGAAGATGGCAGAAAAGCCTTACTCAATATCTTCCTCTCCTGGCCCAAGAAAGGCTGCTGACTCAGCCAGCATTTCTTGGGAACCCCCAAAAGGCAAGCCTTGCCAGTGCTCCTAGGAAAAGCCACTTTTCCCTTCATAGTATCCAGTGCTTGGAGAGGGAGCATGGCAAGTAACCCCCACCCCACCCGTTGCTGCCTTGGACTTTAGCCAAAGGCCAGAGCTGTGTCCGGGGGCACTTCCTTAAATGTTTCAAATCGGGTCAGCAAACTTTTTTCTGTTAAGGGGAAGAGTTTTTTTTTGTACTGATGACTGAACCCAGGGGTACCGTTAGCACTGAGCTACATTCTTAGCCCTTTACTTAATATTTTATTTTGAGATAGGGCTTGCTAAGTTGTTCAGGCTGGCCTGCAATTTGTAATCCTCCTGCCTCAGCCTCCTGAATAGCTGGGATTATTATGTGCGTGCCACCACACCTGGCGGTATTTTCCAATTTTGGTGGGGTATTGGGTATGCATTCTCTGTCCCATCTGCTCGGTGCCAAAACACTATAGGCAGTGGATGTGGCTGTGTTCCAACAAAACTTTATGAAAACAGGTGGCAGGTCATAGTTTGCCCAACCAGGTCTCAAATGAAGCATCAGCAAGCCCTTCAACTCAGCCCTTGAACCTTTGCCCAGGGCCTGAAGGGAAGGCTTATATTCTGCGGCAAGGCCTAGAGTCAAGGATATTTAATAAACAGATTGTGGTATGGCCTCTCCACCAGGTTCTAGCAAAGTATTTTCAGTGGAAGAGGAAGTTCTGGAGCTAGATGAGTGTTCAAATCCGGATGCATTTCCTCCTCTGTGTGATCCTGAAGCAGGGCCTCGGCCTGGATGAGCCCCTGTCTCCTCATTGGGCAGGATGCCACTGCCTGCGTTATGGAGCTGTGGTCAGGACTGAGCACCACGATGCAGGTACAGTGTTTGGCACTGCGCCAGGCCCATAATCCAGCTCACTAAATGGGAGCCATTATCATCTCCACTAAGCCTCACCCTGGCCCTGAGGAGTAAACAGAGCAGCCATCTCTATCTCCAAGGTGGTGAAATAGGCTCTAAGAGGTTGAGTCACTTGCTCAAATGCAGAGCAGCTCTTTGGGGTGCTAAGCCCCAAGCCTGGGTCTGGCCTCAGCTTGGTCTAGGCACCCTGCTCCTGCAAGGGGTCTGGTTCCCTAGACTGAGTGTGCCTTGGTCACTGGAAACTTCAAATCGCCTAAGCAACACAGCAGGCCTCCCCAGGAACAGACCGGGCCTCCCTCATAGCAGCTTTCGCTTGGGCAGCAACCTCGGAGACCTCTCCAGAGGTGTCAAGTGCCTATCACTAAGCCCTTATCTGGGGACCCTTGTCTGAAGTTTTGGACTTAAGTTTCCTGCTCAGGAAACCTAACCAGGCACCTGAGATTCCTTTCTATACAAGGCCAGGGTCCAGAAACCTGGTTTCTGGTCCTGAATCTGCTTCTAGCCAGCTTTGCTGGGCAGCCCAGCAAGGGCTCTCCTTGGTCCTTCTGAGCCTCAGGTTCCTATCTTCCCAGGCCACATTGAGCAGGGAGGTAGGTACAGGGCTTTGTTGGGATCCCAGCAAACAGGGGAGTGCTTCAGTTTGCCCTTTTGAGGGAGTTCAGGGCCCGCCAAAGCAAGGAGGAGCTATAGGAGAAGCTCTGGGAGAAGAAATGCATGCACGGCAGGGAAGCAGGAACCTCAGCCAGCAAGTAAGGCCACTGTTGGGTTATGGGGGTCTGTACCAGCCCCCTCCATACCAGAGACTGTTGGAACCTTCATTTCGTACTTCTCCCATTGTGCTTTCTGATCTTTTGAATGTTCAAGAAATGACAGGTCACAGTTGAGCTAGCCCAGTGGCATGAAAGTCCAAGTTCAGAGCTTTAATCCCAACCCTAGCTTTTCTAGCAACTATGATTCCAGCCAGATCAGATAAGTTAATCTTTTGGGGGTTGCAGTCCCCCCTCATCGATTTTCACAGGACAACCACCTTTGTTCTCCCTACTTCGGGCATAAAGAATTCTACAGGATCAGAGCTGACAGGAGTCTGGGAGGTCATACCTCAAGCCTCTTCATTTTTACAGATGAAGAAGGTGGAACTCAAAAGAGGCGAGTGACGGGTTGAACGGGATGTAGCTCTGTAATACTAGCAAAGTTATACAGAGGGCTTCTCATGTGCCAATCACTGTGCAAAAAAACTTCACCTGCTCCCTCTCCACCGCAGGCCTGTTTTGTAGCAGAGGAAACTGAGGCACTGAGCAGCTAAGTCTTCAGTCTAAGGATCTTCTGTACAATGTGCAAACTAGTGTGGAGAACCACATGGGCATTCCCCGGAAGGCAGGCAAAGGCACTGTGCGAAGGGCAGGCATTCCCTCGGGGCTGCAGTCCCCTCAGCTGGAGGCGGGGTTTTGCTCTGCCACTTGCAGTCCCAGTGCAACAGGACAGCTGCATCTGTGGGGCTGTGGGGAAGAGGGGACCCATCTTTCCAGCTAGGCCAGCACGGGGGCAGGGACTGCTGACCCTGGCATGTGTTATGGGGGAGTTCATCCTCCCTGTCTGTAGGCTCCCAGACTTTCTCACAGCCTAGAGCTCTTCCGGTCTCCTTTGGGAACTCCCATCTCCTCACTGTGAGGGATGTGGGAAGAAAGGGAGGGTAGCTGAGGGCTGGGAGATCCGTCTCACTGCTCAGCCTCCATCTCCAGCACCTCATGATCTGGCTGTCCCCCAGCCCCACTCAAGGCTCTGCAGCCCTTCCCCACCCCTAGCCCCACTCCCAAATGGCCTGTCCAATTTCTGGTCCCAGCGCTTGGGTAAGTTTCCAAAGGAACCACCTCAACCTCACCTCAACCTCAACCACCTCACCTCCCTCAACCTATGCCCAAACATTCAGAATTCAAGTGCAGGAAAGGCCCCATGCCCACAGTGCTCGATGCCCTGGACATCTGCAAGAGAAACAGCTCCCTGTGTGAGGACCATGATGGAAGAACAGAGTAGAAGGCTGGCTCTTCATCTTGCCTCCAGCGGAAGGAGGTGTGTGGTCATGACAGCCTCTGTTGCCTGTTGGTGCCACAGCACCCTCTGTTCTTTTACCCATCATCCTGGCCTTGCTCCCCACACCCTGAGCCTGTTCATTGGCTGATGCCCCTCTATTCTCCCAGGCCTTCTTTCCCTGTTTCTCTTCCTCCTCCCCAGTTTTCCAGTCCTTCAAGGGCCAGCCAAGGCTGATTCCACCATGAAGCCTTACCCTATGCTCCCCTAGTC